TCCCTGTGGACAGTGTACGCACCCTGCATACCTTGGGACGCGGGCCCGCCCCCGGGCCATGGAGAGATGCCTTGATTCCGTACCCAGTCAGGGTGGCCTTTTCCTGTCAATTCTAATATTGTCCGTTGACGGCACTTCCTATCTAGGCGGTGCCGTTGGCATCTGGAAATCGGAGCCTCGGACTTCTTGATTTGGCAACTGAACGACATGCCCACGATGGCAAACCCGCTGAAGCGCGTTTCATTCAATTGTGACTAACATATGGGACGACAAACTGCTTTTGATAGACTTTGCTGCAAATTGGTTAACTACTAGTACACTTAGCCCTACAGACTCGTATACTATACTTTTCATCAGCCTCGTCTCCGTCCAGCTTACTGGTCTTTCATCGACATTAATTCTATATCCTGTTATTATCTTGATCGAATCTCGCTTCAGTCTGACATCGGCAACTGCAGACAACATGGGTTCGATCGTGATCGCCCCTAGAGGAAAATCAGAGCAGTATTCAGACCCCGACCACAAGCTGGTCAACGGAGAGACCAACAAACAAAAAGTATCGAAAATGAGCAGTTCGAGCCGACTAACCACTGAAGAAGAGCTTGTGTTGAAGCGCTTTAGGGTCCTCATCGCCGACCTATGCCAGCAATTCAAAGGTGGTCACCCAGGGTGTGTTGATCCTACAGTGCCTTCATTGTACTCTCGGTGCTAATATATTCCTACCAGCGGTGCCATGGGTATGGCCGCAATAGGTGTTGCTTTGTGGAAATATGTGATGCGATATGCACCTCACACTCCAGATTGGATCAACAGAGACAGATTCGTGCTATCCAACGGGCACACTTGTCTATTTCAGTATAGCTTTTTACACTTGACCGGATACCGAGCTATGACCTTTGAACAACTCAAGTCCTACCACTCGGATCGGGTAGATGCTCTTTGCCCAGGGCATCCCGAAATTGAACATGAAGGTATCGAGGTCACTACTGGTGAGTGGTTATTTTCAAGCCGTACGAGCGCCACTGATCTGTCGTTTAGGGCCACTGGGTCAAGGAATCGCGAATGCTGTGGGGCTTGCCATGGCCTCTAAACACCTAGCAGCCAAGTTTAACAGACCAGGCTTCGATGTCGTATCTGACCATGTCTGGTGCATGGTTGGAGACGCCTGTCTCCAGGAAGGAGTCGGGCTCGAGGCCATCTCATTCGCCGGTCACATGCGCTTGAACAACTTGACCGTGATATACGACAACAATCAAATCACCTGTGATGGTGCCGTTAGTCTAACCAACACTGAAGACATAAACGCCAAGATGAGAGCCTGTGGCTGGAATGTTATTGAGATTTCAGACGGATGTTGGGACGTTGGAGGGATTGTGGAGGCGCTCAAAGCTTCTCGAGATTCACCGCTGCCAACATTCGTCAATTGCCATACTGTCATTGGGGTCGACACTGCCGTGGCTGGTGATGCCGTGGCTCATGGTGCGGCTTTCGGACCAGAGACTGTTGCTTCTCTCAAAAGACTTTACGGTTTCGACCCAGAACAGCATTATGTCATTCCAGATGCAGTCCGAGACTTCTTCCGCGACATCCCATCACGTGGTCAGTCTTGGGTGTCTGAATGGAATCAACTGCTGCAACGTTATGCCAATGCTCACCCAGGCCTTGCAGATGAATATGTCCAACGCATGGAGGGGAGCTTACCGGCTGAGTGGGAGTCGCTCATTCCACATGAATTTCCTGCTAAGGCTACTCCGACGCGCGCCGCATCTGGTCTAGTATTCAATCCCGTGGCGGAGAAAGTTGACCAATTCATAGTCGGAACGGCTGATCTGTCTCCATCTGTATACATGAGTTGGAAGAACAAAGAGGATTTTGAGCCACCACATCTGGGGACAGGGAGTTACTCTGGACGCTTCGTCCATTACGGCGTCAGGGAACACGCAATGGCAGCAGTTTCAAATGGGTTAGCTGCATATCACCCTGGGATGTTCATTCCCGTGACATCCAGGTAAGAGGATCGCCATTGTTGCATCTACCTGACACTATACTTACCACGTGTAGCTTCTTCATGTTCTATCTGTATGCAGCCCCAGCCGTCCGCATGGGCTCACTGCAGCATCTACAAGTAATCCACGCAGCCACCCACGACTCTATCGGTATGGGTGAGGATGGTCCTACGCATCAACCGATCGAGCTTGCTGCCCTTTATCGGACAATGCCAAATTTCCTGTATATTCGGCCCGGTGATAGCGAAGAGACAGCAGGTGCCTGGATAGAAGCAATCAAAGCAAGACATATGTCTTCTCTCATCTCCACATCTCGGCACGCTCTTCCGCAATTGACCGGGTTGACGAACCGAAGACAAGTAGCAAAAGGGGCGTATGTTCTGGAAGAAGTCAAAGAATCGGCGGACCTTACCTTGATTGGCGCCGGTGCTGAGCTCAACCTCGCCGTCAACGTTGCGATCGAACTGCGGAAGTCCCACGGGCTAAAAGTTCGCACTGTCTCCTTCCCTTGCCAGCGCCTTTTCGATGCACAATCCAGAGAATACCAACGCCAAGTCCTTCAAAGGCAAAGTGGTGTCCCTATCGTGGCCATCGAAGCCTATGCCGCCAATGGATGGGAGCGATACGCAAATGCAGCTGTATGCATGAGTAAGCAACGGTTTGGCAAGTCATTGCCAGGACCAAAAGCATACGAGTTCTTTGGTTTTGATGTTCCCTCTATGGTGGGCAGGATCAAAAGCTACCTGGAGAGCCTCAAGTCCGACCCAGACCTGAGGCATGACTTTGTAGAATTGACGTTTGTTGGAAAAGAGAAATGAGAAAGGGGCATAGTTTGCACTCTGGGGCGATTTGGTGGATGCGATCTTTTTTCAAGGATGCTGAATGAAAATCTGTGGTATATCTATCAAATAGACACTATCTAGAGGAGCTACGGTATCTAGCAATCACGAATTCCTCAGATTGTTATGATCAGCATCAACAAAGATTCCAGCAATATTTTTCCCCCAGGGATTAAAATGCTTACCACCATAGGTGTTTTCTTGATGAATCAGACACCAATCAATGCTGACACTCGGGAGACGGGCAAGCAAAGCAAAATAGCCTACACCTGCCTTTTTCCCGGTAGAGAGGGCGTCTGACTTCCCAATCGGGTGGAAAGAGGCTAAACCCTTCGAAGCCGAGCCCGGACATACGGTCGGCACTACGCCTTTTCACGTAGTTTGCCGCTGACGAACCTGTTCAGACCAAAAGAGAAAAGCTTGTCCATTACGCAAGCGCCGATATGAGATCTGAATTCTTTAGATTTGATGGCAAGTCCCACACTTTAGCAACCAACGTGGCAATACACTTTGAGAATAAAAGCAATCGACATTGAATCTACTGTTCAATCGCCTCTCGTGACCGAGAATCGCATCTTCCAATACAATATAAGCCCTTCGTGTGAGCAGGTTCGCCAAAGACGACAGAAACAATAGCTCACCCACCTCTTTAAACACCCAAAAAGCATGGCTCCGGATACCGTCACCCTAGCCTCGGGCCACCAAATGCCCCTGGTCGGCTTTGGCTTGTGGAAAGTGCCAGCCGACAAGGCTGCCGATACTGTGTACAATGTAAGTTCCAAAATTTCTCAATACATGCTTCCCAAAGCCTGAATTGATTACTTGTTTGGTCGATTTTCCTGGGACCTGAAAAAAGCTCACCGTTGTCAGGCCATCAAAGTTGGATATCGACTTTTCGATGGTGCATATGATTATCAGAACGAAAAGGAGGCTGGCGAAGGAATTCGTCGCGCCATCAGCGAAGGTCTCGTTCGACGCGAGGACATATTCGTGACGACCAAGCTCTGGAACAACTACCACCAGAGAGATCATGCACTAGCTATGGCCAAGGCACAGAACGAAGCGTGGGGCCTTGGATATATCGATCTATATCTGATTCATTTCCCTGTTGCGCTCAAGTATATTGAGCCTGAGAAGCTGAGATATCCTGTAAGTCGTCATGGTGGTCAAAGGAGGTAAAAGCCTCACAAAGCCTGTCTTATTCAACTGACGTCAAAATCAAGGGTTGGTGGATGGATCCAGAACACAAGGTGATCGAAACTGCCAAAGTGCCGGTCCAGGAAACCTGGCAAGCATTAGAAGAAGTCGTCGACCAGGGCATCGCCCGGTCCATTGGAATCTCCAACGCACAGGCCCAACTCCTCTACGATATCCAAACATACGCACGCCACCCGATCTCTTCGCTCCAGATCGAACACCACCCATACCTGGTCCAGCGGGAACTCGTGGAGCTCGCCCAGGAGGAGAAGATTGTCATCACAGCGTACTCGTCATTCGGACCGCAGAGTTTCCTGGAACTACCTCCCGCATTCCGGGCGCGGGCGAAGGACACGCCGCTCCTCTTCGACGCCGAGGTGGTCAAGAAGGCCGCCGACCGGGTCAGCAAGACGCCGGCACAGGTCCTGCTACGATGGGCAACGCAGCGGAATATTGCCGTCATCCCCAAGTCGAATAACGTGGACCGGCTGCAACAGAACTTGGACGTGGGAGCTGGGAGCTTCGACTTGACCGGGGAGGAGATCGAGGCGATTAGTGCGCTGGACAGGGGCTTGAGGTTCAACGATCCGGGCTTTTACCTGCACAAGCCATTGCGCATTTTCGCATGACCATACACACATACACACATGTACCCACACATAGCTCACAGTGAAGGGATGAGTAGATTTTTTGATATGCCCATTTTTCTGATTTGTCTCGGCTCCTGCTTTGGATTTCAACGGAGAGGGGGGAAGGGAAGGAGAAAATTATTAGCAATAGATGAAAGATTGTTGTCTCCAAGTCTTTTTTATCTAGGTCCTAATTTGAAAGGGCGTATCTTTTACACATCTATAGTCCCTCTTAGACGTTGACAAATATTAAAACGAGCAACCCATCATTGGCCTCTCCCCCCCTATCAAAATCCATCTTATCCCCCTTCTTTTCTTTTCTTTTCTTGTCATACCTGAATATCCTGGTCGTCCACTATCTGGACTTTGATACTCCTTTTCGTCCGATCGGCCGACAATTCCAGAGCCTCGACAGCCTGTTCCAGTGGGAATCTGTGTGTCACCAACGAGTCGAGGTTCAGTACTTGGCTGTTTGCCAGGGCATTGATGCCGGCCGGCCACGTGTCGTTGTACCGGTTGATGAATTTGAGTTGGATTTCCGCCAAGCTGAGGTGCATAAAGGGGAGATTGTTCATGACGCTCCGACCGACCCCGACGACCATGACGACGCCGGCTCGTCGACAGGTGTACGCGGCGGTGACCACGCTGGACTCGATGCCCGTGCACTCTAGTACCGTTGAGGGTGCGTAGTATTCGTTGATGTCGGGAATACCCTTGTTGACGTCGCGGCCGCCTGCACATCCGAAGAGGAGCCTGATCTCCTCAGACGCCTGTAGGGGGCTCTCTGAAGTTTGGACGTGGTACGTTTGGCACCCTGGAACAAATTGTTTCGCGAATTCCAACCGCGACTCGTCCACGTCCGTGATCACCAGAGGCCAGGCGCCAGATGCTCTTGCGGCGGCCAAGGCGATCAGACCGATCGGGCCAGCACCACAAACCAAGGCTGGCTGGCCTATTCCTATGGACCCCTTACACTGTCGTATGGCGTGCAGAATGACCGACAACGGCTCCAAGAGAGCACCTTGTGCAAACGTCATGCTGTCAGGCATCTTGTGACAATAGCGAGCCTCGTGTGTCAAGAACCGCCTGATTGTGCCACCGTGGCACACTCCAGAAAATGTCACCTTCTCGCACAAATTGTACTTGCCCGAGGTGCACAAGAAGCATGTCTGACACGGGACCTGGGGCTCGATGGCTATCCTGTCTCCGGGTTTGAGATGTGTCACAGCCGACCCAACCTCGAGCACGACGCCGGATGCTTCGTGGCCCAAGATGTGCGAGTGGTCGACGATTAGAGGGCCAATAGCTCCTCTGTGCCACAGATGAAGATCTGATCCGCAAATACCAGTGGCACGAACATGAATTAGGACTTCACTTGCTGATGGCTTCGGTATCGAGCTTTCAGCGAGATAAACGCTGTGTTCGGGTGTAACGTATAGCGAAGGATTCTTGTACCGAGTCAATGTGGAAGCCGGTTTGTCAAGATCTGAACCGTCGACGTCTCCGTTGGCAACTTCGACCTGACTGACTATGGCCTGTTTAACAACCGGAATGTCACCATTCGCTAGGTGAGAGCCGGTGAGGGTCGCTGAAGGTGCCATGGCTCTTTTCTTTCAGATATTTGGAACGAAGGGATGCAAACGATTCTTTCGACGAGCAACTTTTTTTGAAAACCGTTGTAGTGAATTGGCAAAACCTAGACACTGGAGAGGTAAAGGGCATTTCTGCCGGCACAGATCCAATCCGGCCGAGACATGGCTACTAGCAGAAGATAAAGTGCCCGGAGCTGCTTGGATCACATGTAGCATCTCGAGCGTCCCGTGGAGAGGGGTGAATGGATGATTTGTGCACATCAGATCTTGTGGCGTGGGCCATCGCGCGAGAAGAGTCGGCGGACAGGCAGGTCGGGGGGGATTGAGTGCGCGGTGGGCAGTTCTGGGCCATCCGGATGGTGGGCTTACTGAGGCGCCCGCTTAGCTCTACGTAGAGCCTAGAGGGAAGCTTGAGAAGTGCTTCGGCTTGCTGTTTCAGGCATTGTTAAGCATTCAACACCTGCCGGTACATGGGGGCAACGTCCCTGTTCGCCACGCCGCGGGGCTCCTTGGGCTTCTCCACGGTCCCCCAAACCTTTATTGGCCCTCAAGAGCAAGAAGCGACATCCCCACCACGAACAACATTCGGAGGCACGACTTTCTACTTTGGCAACTTCTTCATCGTCGCCCTTGTGCAGCCGCTTGCGATCCCCATGCAGCCATGCAGGAAGATTCTGGAGCAATCCCTCCTAGGCGACGCGTGCGATCAGGTTGCTTGACCTGTCGAGGTCGGCGGCGAAAGTGCGACGAGGGAAAGCCAGTCTGCCGGAATTGCAGAACCAAAAACCTGACGTGCCGCTACGGTCTAAACATCACGTTTGTCGACTCTCGAAGAGGCGCGTCGACACAAGCAAAACCGTCGTCAACTGACAATATTATCGCCCAGAATGAGTCTACACCACGACGGCAAACATCCGGTGCCGACGGCGTCTCACGTCCTCGTGGAACTCGACCACTCTTGAGGACGACCAGTGCACTTCAACATCAACAGAATGCGTCGGAGCCATCCTCGGATAGCCAAAGAATCCAGAATCAAAATGGAAGTTTATCGGAGCCATTATCGGACAGTGGAGTGATCCAATACCAAAATACAATTGAGCCAACGTCACGGCACTCGGCCATCCAGCCAGAATTTCCACTCCCAGCATCACCGCAGACTTCTCGAACACCGTTTCCAGAAGACTTTGACTCATTTGGCTCCATTGAAACGCCGTTCCCTCAACCGTCATCGCTTTCTGTCCCAGATGATTCCCGAGACTCCAATTTGGAACGGTTATTCCCCCGTTCTGACATTGCCAACTCGGAAGCCATCCTCGATGAGGAGGATGAACAAGGTGTAATAGAGCTTTTCACTTTTTTCCGGTATCAGATTGCACCGCGGCTGGATCTTGGTGTGGGAGAGGCATTTTTTGGCATCGATGCACTGCTGAAGGCTAAAACATGTGGTGCCTTGTGTAAGAGCATCCTGGCATTGTCTAGCTGCCAAAGGCATCTTTCGCAGGGCGTTCATCCAGAAGCTGATGACGCAAGATCTGCTGAGTATGCCCTGAAGGCGACACTATCAGTTGCCAACGCGGGGGACGAGGATAGGGCGACGGCTCTGATTCTGCTCACATTAAGAGACATGATTCTAAATCCTCCTGGAAGCTGGAGCAATCTTGCACTGGCCCTGCAGCAGGACTTGAATGTCCCATCGGACAGTCTGCAGGAAGGACAGTGGCAGGTTATGGCACGCCTCGTGATCGCAGCAAGACTCACGGCGTCTATCTCGACAACTCGAGTTGATCTTTCCTTCGTTGTTGAAGGTGCCAGAACAGTCTTGCCAGGGCAGACGTTGACCAACAAACAACAGCTTCACCAAGCATTTTCTAACCTAGCGCGCGCATTAATGATACCCGATAACAACTTCGATACAGGACAGCGAACCAGGTTGCCCGTGGCTGCCGTCTGGCAGTCGTGCTGGAGTGACTGTGAATTGTGGTACTTTGCGAGAAATGAAGAAATGCAACAAGTTTTTGAAGTTGACAACTCGGACTCTGTGACTGCAGGCAGCCCAACCAGTCCACCATTTCCAATCATCATCTTCAGTAATTCTTGCGCTCTGATGGCGAATTTTGCTCACCATCTGACTGCAATCCATTTGCTGCATCACAAACCCCGGCTGATCAGGCCCATTGCGGGATCTGGATGGTCAGTATCGCCAGCGTGGCACGCTCAGAGACTCGTCGGCACCATTGCTGCTTTCAATGAAGCAGAGATCTTTGACCCTCTTGTGGTTGCCGGTCTGATCTATGGGGCCAGAAAACTAAGCCACCCGTCCCAATTGGCTGTGGTGGCAAACATACTGAGAAAAGCGGCACAGACGACCGGGATGCAGCTGCAGCAAGAGATTGAAAAAACTCAATATGCTCATGGCAAAACGACCGGCTGATCGAGTGTCAGTCGTGTGATGAAGATTGTCCCCATTACCAGCGGTAATATATGCGAATACGGTACTAGGTCCCAAAAATGCTCGAGTACGTGGCATCGGGCTGCTTCAATCCCTAGTCAAGTCGTGCAGAGTAACCATGCTCCACATTGAAGAATACTTGGAAAATAAAGCCAAGCAGATTCTGGTGTTGTGGCTGTGCGTATGGAGGTTATACGTGTCGAGCTGTATGGAAACAGCCAGTAGCCGAGGAATCAGTGTAGCATCAAGAGCGCAATCACGGCAGAATACCGCCATGAAGCGAAATCCGAGGCCAGAAGAATTTCATGTAAGCCTTTAAGCTTTAACGGAGGTGTATACTGGTTTAGGAAATCCTAGCCTCCGCGTGCCCTTTCGGCCATTGGCCATGCGGGACAACCACCGAAATCCTGGTTGCGTGAAAATCATGTCCTTCCAAACGCGGCAAGAGGAAGCACTCCGCCGACCCCAGAAACCAGCCCTCATCGCGTGCTCCCCGCCTTTTAACCCCCTTACCATGGGTGCTAGAGTCTAGTCCATGTTCTAGAAAAGTCATATATAGTGTCTTACAAGTCATCCCCATCATGAAGCTGTTGTTGTTGTCGTTGTTGTCGCAGCCGAGCTTCACGCACCAACATTGATAGTTCACCCCAGGATCTTTCAAATCAATTTTTGCCACTCTCCATCATGGAAAATCCCAATATTTCTCAGCTCGAGGGCGACCACGAGCGACAGTCCAACGAGGCGCTCCCAAAGGAGAAGCTCAAGATCGACCATCTCGAGGTCATGGCCGACGAGCAGCTAGGTCATCTGGCCAATCAAGAAGACCACGAATTGGGTGTCTGGCAGTCCTTCAAAGCCTACCCTGGAGCCTGTATGTGGTGTGTCTATGCCTGCTGGACCATCGTCCTGGCCGCATTCGAAATCCAAGCGGCAGGTTCGGTGCTTGGGATTCCTCAGTTCCGGAAAGACTTTGGGTCATACTTCGAAGGCAACTATGTCCTGCCCACGGAATGGCAGTCGGCATTCAATGCCGCCCCCGTCGCGTCCGCCATTATTGGGGGTCTTGGTGGCGCAGCCATCGCTGACATTGTCGGACGCAAGTATACTCTTATATGCGCGTTGGCGGTCAGCTTTGCGGCAGTCAGCGTCGAATTCTCCTCGACCACCAATCCCGTCTTCTTCGGCGGCAAATTCTTGAACGGGTTTGCTGTTGGCACTATTCAGGCGGTCATGACGACTTATATTGGAGAGGTGGGTAGAGCAACATCGCAGTCGGCTCTTTGTTTGTTCCTTTGTTCCCTTTGCTAACACATCTCTCAGATTGCACCTCATGCCTGGAGAGGTATCTTCACTGTCGGAATCGGAATTGCTTTCGGCGTACGTACTACTACTACTTTCTCGCTCCTACATGGGTTATCCACGCACTCGACCCTCCCCCAAGAATATTTGAAGAGTCTTGAGAGGCAAAAACGCTGACATCCTGCCTGTGGTAGATTGGTCCTCTATTGGCCTTCATCGTTGTCAACTATACCGGAGATGTCGAGACTCGTTGGGCCTATCGCACAGTGTTCTGCTGCCAGTATGGCTTCGCCGCCGTCTCCGCAATCTTCGCTCCCTTCTTGCCCGAGTATGTCCCTCTACATCAATTCTTCCCACTAGTTCCACTCCCGCTGACTGTCATCCTCCTAATAGGTCTCCATGGTGGTTGGTTTCAAAAGGCCGAAATGAAAAGGCACTCAAAAGCCTGAGCCGACTCGGCCAGAAGGGCGACGAAGGCAAGAAGAGATTTGCGCTGATTCAAATGACACTGGAAGAGATTAAAAAGGAGACTGAAGGCGTCACTTATTTCGAATGCTTCCGAAAATCCAATTTGCGACGCACAATCATCAGCATTGGGCCCCTGATCATCCAAGTGCTGACGGGTATTACCTTTGTCGCCGGATACTTCACCTACTATCTCCAGCTCGCGGGTTATTCGACCCAGGAAAGCTTCAGGATCCAGATTGCACAACCGGTGCTCTCGATTTTTGGCAACTTGATTGCCACCTACCTGGTGGACAAGGTGGGGAGGCGAAACTTGACCTTTTACGGTCTGCTCGTTCTTGTCGTCCTTCTGTTTATCGAAGGCGGCTTGGCCACGGGCGGCAGCCCCGGCGAGATCAAAGGCACCGTGGCCATGATTCTGATCTACAGCTGGATGTACAATGTCTCGATCGGGTCGACCGCCTTCTCCATCATGACCGAGACGTCCACGTCCCGCCTCCGCGTCAAAACCATCGCCATCGGCCTCGCTCTACAGAACTCGATCAACGTCATGTGGCAGTTCGTCCTGCCCTACATGTTCAACCCGGACAAGGGCAACCTCGGCGGCAAAGTCGCCTTCGTCTTCGGCGGCCCCAGCTTCCTCTGTCTTGTTTACTTGTGGTTCTTCCAGCCCGAAACCGGCGGCCGGACTTACGAAGAACTAGACGAGATGTTTGCCAAACGCGTTCCCGCGAGGAAATTCAAGAACTACAAGCCCGATGCCCAGGCCAAGGGCGAGGTAGTCAAGGAGATCGTG